CCGCTCTTGTTTGTTTGATTCTCAATTATTTGATATGAATGATTCTGGGATTAAAGCGATGTTTATTGCATAAGGTTAGAAATCCAACAAGTGGTTTCAGAGCCTTCATGTTGAATTTTTGGGGAATCAATTATACATTATTTTGATCCAGTGATCAATTTGTTTTTTGAGAATTAATTGTGCAAATTACGTTGTTTTTTTTACCTACATCAAAATCTTAATTTCATGTGATCAGTATTAAAATTTTAGTTGTCTTGTAATGTTGAGTTATGCTAAACTTACACATGAATTATTTGATTTGCCTCATGAATTCATTCTGTATATGCTGAGTGATTGATATGCTCCTGCTTTTCAAATATTTGCTCAAGTAATCCAAAGGGTGTATTTGATTTATTTGCCCTCGTGATCTCTATTGATTGTTAAATTTTGGTTGTTAAATTCTTCTCATATCATGTTTTAGAATGTATATTATTGGTATATACATCATTTCGTGAATTTTTGTGATTTTTTCGTAACTTTTGGTATAAAAATCGCATTCAAAGCTTTTGGTTATGGCTGTTTACTGGACTGATCTGCAGCGGGTTTGGACCGGGTCGGGTTGACCCGTTGCAGGTTGAAGATGAAATTAAAACCCGGTGTTGTGGGGTGCAGGCTGGTTTCAAGTTTGCATTTCTGAAGCCTGCCACCCGTGATTATTGTTTATATGGTGCGACATATAAATATTTATGTTAAGAACATATTTAGTGATTATTTATTTATTAAGTGTGCAAATATAGTATATTGATTTAGTGATTGCACATATATATAAATAAATTGTTCAATCATTATTTTCAAATTTATTTTGGTAAATCTCATGTCCTTTTATTTGTCTAAAATTTAAAACAAGTTTATTGAAACAAGAAGTTGCAAAAGTGACCTCTCTTGTGTAGATTTATTTGTTAAAATTTTAGATATTCGTATTTGCATGTTTTCATGCGAGTAGTAGTCAGCCCAAAGGAAGATTATTACTTGGCAGAAATATATAAATACTTGTGGTGGTAAATATGTGACAATATATAGTTATATCCATGTGAATAATATGTTTTTTCAAAAGAAAGGCTATTGTTTGACAAGATTTTGTCAATATTTGATTACTACACAAAGGTGACCACTTACAAATTAATATTATTGTCCAAAGACTTGATACTAATGTTGTGTTAGGTGCCTTGAGATGTTGCCAAATTTATTTAAATTTGTATGATTGATGTGAGCATGTTTATTAATTTAATGTTATTCTCTGTTCAGCTATGTCGTCTGCTACTTCTATTTCTGCTAACACCAACAACATTCCCATGCTTAATCCAAAGTTCATAAGGTGTTTTAGCAGTAGCTTTAGTTGGTACCCTATTGGGAATATAAGCTGCTGTTTTCAAAGCTTCTCCCCAAAGTGATTCTGGTAATGAAGAATGACTAATCATACTCCTCACCATATCTTTCAATGTTCTATTTCATCTTTCAGCTACACCATTCATACTAGGTGTACCTGGCATGGTATACTGTGGGACGATTCCACATTCTTTTAGGAAAAGAGCAAAAGGTCCTGGACGTTGTTCTCCGGAACCATCATATCTACCGTAGTATTCACCTCCACGGTCAGACCTGACAGCCTTAACTCTTTTATCGAGTTGATTCTCGACTTCAGCTTTAAATATTTTGAACATGTCCAGTGCCTCAGATTTCTCATGAATCAAATATAGGTACCCATATCTTGAATAGTCATCTAGGAATGATATAAAATAATGTTGACCATTCCAAGAAGCCTTAGGGAATGGACCACAAATATCCGTATGTATCAATTCTAAGACACTTGTTGTTCTTTTGGCACCTAATTTCTTTATTTTGGTCTGTTTTCCTTTAATACACTCAACACAAACATCAATGTCTGAAAAATCGAGTGTATTCAAAATACCGTTTGACATAAGTCTATCAATTGTATCTTTTGAGATATGGCCTAAACGCTTGTGCCATAATTTAGCTGAATCATTTTTATTTAACTTTCGCTTAGTGCCTCTACATCCGACATGAAGTGATTCAGTGTATGATGCAATTGTATCAATCATATATAGATTGTCGTAAGCACTTAATGAACTAGTACCAACAATGTTTGAGTTCAATGGAAGACTAAATTGACAAATTCCAAATGAACAAGAAAAACCGAATTTGTCCAATACAGAAATAGAAACCAAATTCCGTCTAAATGACGGTACAACAAAAGTGTCTTTCAAATCCAAAAAGAAACCAGTTCTTAATAACAATCTAAAATGCCCTATTGCCTCTACTTGCACCGATTTTCCATCACCCACAAAGATGTATCTTTCACCATCAGTTGGTTTTCGGCAGCTCAAACAATCCTGCATTGAAACACTCATGTGAGTAGTAGCACCAGAATCTAACCACCATGTGTTTCGTGATACATAAGCTAAATTAACTTCAGAACAGACCATATTAAGGAATGAACCTTTTTACACGCCAAGCGTGATATTTTGCACAATCCTTCTTTGCATGTCCCGGTTTTCCACAAAAGTAATAACCAGACGAATTTTCACCTTTCTTTTTCTTTTGTGTTGGAACCTTATTCTGAACAGCTTGTTCTCCCCTTTTTCTTTTGCCTTTATCTTTGAAATTACTAGCCAATTGAATAACCTCAACTCTTTCTTGCTTCAGCCTTTCTCCCTCTTGCACACAATAAGAGATGAGCTCATTTAGAGTCCACTTCTCCCTTTGACAGTTATAACTTACTTTAAACTGACTGAATTGTGCGGGAAGCGATAACAACACAAAATAAACGAGTAAGTCCTCAGACACTTTGAGCTTTAGCGCTCCTAATTTTGAAGCAATGTGAGACATCTGCATGATGTACTCCCTTATGTTTCCCTTGCCTTTGTACTTTAATGAGATCAAATTCGCTAAAAGTGTACTTGTCTCGGACTTTTCGTTGTTTACAAAACGTTTCTCAATTTTGGCAAGAAACTCACTAGCATTATTAATTTCCTCAGAAGCAGTGCCTTGAAAGATTTCCATAACACCGCTCCTCCACCTATAGTGAATACAAAACCAGAAAAATACATTTACTCCCACTGAATTTATGATACACACAACTATCAACAGGGTTCATCTCAAAACCAAAGGAGATTACTACCTGATGAAATTTATGGTACCACTGACGAGATGCTTGTTTGAGTCCATAGAGAGATTTATTTAGTGTGCAAACCATAGACTTTGGATCTCCAGAAATAAAGTTTTCCGGTTGCACCATATAGATTGTTCATCAATGGCAAGATTTAGAAACGTTGTTTTGAGATCCATCTGATGTAACTCAAGATAAAAATGTGCTACTAATGCCATAAGTATCCTAAAAGAGTCTTTCGAATAAACCGGAGAGAAAGTCTCTTTATAATCAATGCCTTCCTTTTGAGTAAAGCCTTTTGCTACAAGACGAGCCTTATATCTTTCCACATTACCCTTCGAATCCCTTTTAGTTTTAAATATCCATTTGCAACTAATGGGTTTCGCACCTGAAGGTAATGGGACAAGATCCCAAACTTTATTGTCTTTCATCGACTTATACTCTTCATTCATGGCATCTATCCACTTTTCAGAATTTGGATCTTGCATGGCTTGGCGAAAATTGATAGGATCAGTTTCTTTCAAAACATTATTTTCTTCATCTTCTTGAAGAAATACTACATAATCATCCGTAATAGTATTCCTTCTATCTCTAGTGGATCTCCTTAATGGCACAAGTTCTGGAGGTTGTTGAGTTTGTTCATCCTGAATAATCGAACCAGTTTGAGTTGGAAGATTTTCAACATTATCATGTTGAGGTTCTAAATCTACTTCTTGACTAATTACATGAATAGAAACCTGCATATTGTCAGATGTAGTAGTAGGCATCGAAAACGATTCCTCCTCAAAGGTAATATCTCTAACCTTATTTCTCCCACCAAACTCAACATCCTAAAAAAATACAGCATTTCCCATCTCAAGTATAGATCTCCCAGTAGGATCATAAAACTTAAAACCCCTTTATTTTTTTGGATAACCAATAAAGTAACTGCTAATGGTTTTGGAGTCCAATTTCTTTTCGTTCGGCCTATAAGGCCTAGCCTCAGTTGGACATCCCCAAATATGAAAATGATTTAGATTAGACTTTCGCCCGGTCCAAAGTTCATTAGGTGTTTTAGCAGTAGCTTTAGTTGGTACCCTATTGAGAATATAAGCTGCTGTTTTCAAAGCTTCTCCCCAAAGTGATTATGGTAATGAAGAATGACTAATCATACTCCTCACCATATCTTTCAATGTTCTATTTCGTCTTTCAGCTACACCCTTCAACTAGGTGTACCCGACATGGTGTACTGTGGATGATATTTTGCTTGCTACAAATGATTTAGGAATGTTGCATGATACCAAGAAATTTCTATCAAATAAATTTGAAATGAAAGATCTTGGGGAAGCTTCTTTTGTATTAGGAATCAAGATTATTCGGGATCGTTTCCGAGGTACTCTTGGATTATCACAAAAGTGCTATATAGAAAAAGTGTTGCAATGATTCGGCATGCAAAATTGCAAACCAGGAGAAACCCCTATTGCCAAAGGAGACAAATTTAGTCTAATTCAGTGTCCAAAAACTGATCTAGAAATTAAAGAAATGCAGAAAATACCTTATGCTTCGGCTATTGGAAGTTTGATGTATGCTCAGGTCTGTACAAGACCTGATATATCTTTTGTTGTTAGTATGCAGGCAGATATTTAAGTAACCCTGGTATGGATCATTGGAAAGCAGCCAAACGGGTCATGAGATACTTACAGAGAACTAAAGATTACATGCTCACTTATAGAAAATCGAATCAATTGGAGATCATCGGGTACAGTGATTCTGATTTTGCTGGATGTCAAGATAGTAGGTGATCCACTTCAGTCTACATTTATTTATTGGCTGGAGGAGCCATCTCATGGGGAAGTGCTAAAATGACACTCTTATCATCTTCTACCATGGCAGCTGAATTTGTAGCATGTTATGAGGCATCCAATCATAGAATATGGCTACGGAATTTTGTCACTGGGCTGCGCATTATTGAGAATGTAGAAAGACCACTAAAGTTGTATTGTGACAATAATTCAACAGTACTATATTCCAACAACAATATGAGCTCAACTAAGTCAAAGTATATCGACATAATGTTCCTAGTTGTAAAAGAAAGAGTACAGAGTGGACAACTTAGTATAGAACATATTGGGACAGGCTCAATGATTGCGGATTCGCTTACCAAAGGTCTAACACCCAAGGTCTTTCATGAACATATTGTTCGAATGGGTGTGACACAATTTCAGGATATTTTGTTTTAGTGGGAGTCTATATTAAATTGTTCTATTACATATTGTATTTGTGTGTTTGGATATTTCTAATCAGATATAAAGTATTCAGTTTATTATACTCTGTAATTTTAGTTTTGTATTGATCTCACTGAGGAATAAGGTGGCCAGTTGAAAATAGGCATGAAAGATCACATTACATGTAATTTTCATGCTACACTTCCATGATTAATCTATGTCATTTGGTTGTATTGATATATGTGATTATCGATGGGCTGATTCATGCTTAAAATGATGAATGTCTCTTTAGTCCTATGTCATTACGATTAATGGACGAGATTGGTAAATGATACTCTTGTTTGTGACAACAAATTTTGAGCTCATAAAGTAATACATATTTGTTTGGTTGCATATGTAGTCCAAGTGGGAGATTGTTAGAAATACTTAATTTGGACAACATATGTGAATTAAATGTGTATAGTTGTCATAATATAATTCAATTAAAGTGATCTAATAAATTTATTATTTTGAATAAAGAGAGTATCAAATTATTGTGGATTTAAAAGTGTAGATACCGTTATGAAATTTTCAGTTTGTTGAGGGACCGAATTGAAAATTAAAATGATTTACTTACCTGGTAGTGGCCCCAAACGATGTAAATAAATTGGCAGATTTTGAACAGGTGCCTTTTCCCTTAAAAGGCACCATACTGTAGTACAAAGATATATATACAGATACAAATATATGAAGGTGTATGTAAAATAGATACACAATATCAGTACACACATATATCTGCAAAATATATCTGCCGTAAGGTACGATCGTTTGGAAGTTCTCACCAGTCCAGTCCAATCCAGGAGAAGAGAAGAATACGCTTCCGCTCTTGTTTGTTTGATTTTCAGTTATTTGATATGAATGATTCTGGTATTAAAGCGATGTTTATTGCATAAGGTTAGAAATCCAACATTCCCTCCACACAGTTGATGATTTTTCTTGTTCAGTTCGCAATATTATTTTCGCAGGCCATGGTAGGATATTCTTATATTATTATTATTATCATTTTTATGTAGCCTAGGCCCATTTTGATAGAAACTGTATTTAACTTTTTTCGAAATAAATCGATATTAATCCCAAGAGCTTTCATATTGAATAATCGAGAAACATAACCAAATAGCGGAAACATACCTGATGGATTCATGTTGATTGATTAATTGAATTTGGATTTGTAAATCTTCCAAAAGACCATGATTTTTCTGTACTTTTCTTTAGATGTATAAAGAAAATTTTCTTAAGCCTGTGAAGAAGGAAAAACTTCTTCTGCTGATTCTTTGATGCCCCTCCCCTATCTCCTTTTATAATAATTAGTAACAGCAATTATACACTAATAATTGAAAGGTCGGTCAACTAACAACAACCACCTTCCACCTTTTTCTTTTTTTTTTCTTTTTTTTTTTATTCCTTATGGGGTATCCAAATGGACATCACTTTATTTTCACGGCTTTTGGGGACTCCACCCATAAATAATTTTGACCCAAATTATACGTTATTTAGGTCCTTTAGTTTAATATTAATATTTGTTACGTCACCAAATAATATTATTATCGGGTGTCCACATTTAATCATTCCACAATTTAAATTAAGTTCATTAGCCAATTTACAATAATTTGATCACTTTATTTTGGCTAAACAATATAATGACCCAATGTATTAATTACACATTTTTATTGTCATTTTCTATGGCCCATAGACGTTAAGGAAAGATAACGTGCGGGCTGCTTTCAGCCCGCGTGCCGCAGTCAGCTCGTCCGCAACCCAACATTTCTCAGCTGCTTTCAGCGCCCTCGGCCCGCGTACCTGCAACCCTTTTGTGCATTGGGTCGGACCCCATTTTGCGGCCTAATTGTAATAACCCAACTTCTTGTTAATAGAAATGATGCATTATCTTTACTGATTCCGTTCATTTTCAGCAATTACGTTCGACGTTAAGTCGAAAAGTTTATCCGGTTAATTATTAACTGAGTCAAATTCGATAATTAATTTCCGAACCGCTTATTTTTAAACGGACATTATTAATCGGGATTAATTATTAAAAGTTACAAATGTTCGGGACTAAGTTTGAGGTAGAAATTAAGTTAAGTTACGAGTACACGCAAGGTGCATTAAGCATGCACGCGTACCGCATACCGTGCGTACGCCTACGCCCGCAAACGCGCATCGCCGCGCATCACGCACTAGCGCGCGCTCCATTAGCCGCTAAGTACACGCTTATGTTCCATTAAGCCCCATGATCAAGCTAAGCCAACCCAAATCTCAAGTCTTTGTTTGAGCCGTGAGAATTAGTATCTAGGATAACCATGGGTGCAAGTTGCCATGGTGAATCACCTAGTAGCTTGCACACATGGCGTGACGCGGACGCACGACGATGACTAAGCCCGTGCATGGCTGCCACCTCGGCAATGACTAAGCCAAAAATCACCTACACTTCAGCCACGTTTATGCCACTTGTTGTCATGGGAAGCAATGTCATCGATCACCTCTTTGACCCCAATTTTACCACACGGTTCTACTCCTTTAAATTACCGTGCGTGGACGTTGATTTCATGCATTTTCACGCACCAAGTTCAGTCCAACTTTAGCAAGAAATAGAGAGAAAATAGTAAGGAAAATATTGTAGAAAAATAGTACAAAAATAGCTACGGAAGGCGGAAGCACAAGGGAAGTACGTACGCACGCGTTTCAGCTTAGCACACGCACGCACATCACCGTGCATTCCACGTCCAAACTGAAGGGTACATTCTTGTTTACCCTCTCTTTATGTATTTCAGTTCATTATAAGAAGATCATGTCGA